CTGGTGGCTGAATTCCTCTAAACACTGTGGTCAACAACACACAGAGAGATCTGAGGCAACACACATGGGTGTGTGAGATAACAACACAGTTTTACACACACCAACACAGTGTGTAAAGGTGATGCGTATCTCTGTTCAGACCATGCAGTATCATGGTCAAATGCTGTCCTATCTGTAAGCTCTTGGTGTTCAAAATACATCAATACAAGTATATTGACATAGATAACTGAATATTTGTTTTGACTTTTACATTTAAAGAGGACATAGGCTATTATGCTAATTTTCAGGTTCATATTAGTATTATGTGACTCTACTGTGACATGTCTCCATGCTTTAATGTTCAAAAAGCTCTTCATTTTCTCATACTGCCTCTTTTCCCCCTCTGTCTGAAACCAGAGCCCAGTCTGCTCTGATTGGTTAGCTGACTTGCTTTGTTGTGATTGGTCAACCGCTTACAGATGTGTAAGAAACGTACTGTTCCTTAGCCTATAACGTACAATGTGTTAGAGCACTAGCCAATAGAAGCGCGAGTGTTACATAGTGATGTTACAGAAGAGAGAAACTCCTCTGGTGGATTTTAGCCTTTGTGGACCATTTACTGTACCTGCACAAAATCATATACAACACCCGACAGGAAAGAGAAAACCCCAAAAAGTATAATATGGGAAGGACATCGAAAACATTTTATATAATATGTTTGATAGATTAATAAGTTAATTTTCTTAATTAGCCACCGTTTTCCAAAGCCAGATGCTCATTGTTGTTATAGTACACTGTAAGCAATTGCTGTTAATTTACAGCCAATTTTCAACACTAATCTACTGTATTCATGAAATACGGTTTTGTACTGTAGGTAGCAATGCATTGTGGGCTGGCCAATGTGAAGCAGCAGCACAGGGACCCTAAACAGTATGCTAATGTTTTAAAGTACAACACAACAGTATTTTTTGGAAATTGGGGTAATATTGGGGCTGGATAAGAAACGTCATTAGGAGAGCAGCATTCTGATGTTGCTATTACTTTAACTTTCAGGTGGAACCGGGCAAGTCACTACTGGACGGCGATGGATGATCACCCTTGAGGGCCGTGTCATATCTGAGGGCATCACACCAACCTTTTTGACGGGACTTGCTGCTGTCTTTGTGATCTACTATGTATTCAACCTTCAGTATCAGGAAGAGGCAGCCTGTACTCTGGAATTCATTCAGAGGTAAGACTCCTTTCATTTCCTTGTAATCATTATGTTTTTTTTATTTACAATTAAAATCTTTGAAACCTGAATAACCACAAATCATTACTTTTCACACTTAAAGGGATAGTTTGGATTTGTTTAACATAAGATGGTATTAGTTACTTACCGGTATTGACACAGACATTAACTCAGGCAGGCAGTCATACATTTCCCTGCCAGCTGGTCAATAGTTCTGCTATTGTTGTCAATAGCAGAACATGGGGTCAGTTAACAAAACACAAAAAAAACATGAACCATTTACACGAGAATACAACATATATTGAGTAATTCTGCTGCTTGATGCTCTTGTACAAACTCTGTATATCTTGAAAATATTTCTTTGTTAATTATGTGTATTACTATTCAGTGGAGCCGATTCCAATATCAAGCCGCCAATAAGCTTGAATAGAGGCGTAACATGTGAACTGGCTCCTGTGCGTAGTAATACACTGGCAATTTTCAACAAATGAAATAGTTCCAATAAGGAACTATTTCATTTATTTTTTCTATAAGGGTCTGATAGGAAAAATCAAGCAGCGCAATTACACTAAATACCCATTAGTCAGTACCGGTTCGCAACTCATATCACCTTATGAATAAAACCCAAACTACCCCTTTAAGACAACAAAGTGTTAGTAATAGTTTTCCATTCAGACCTCTGATCTTAATATTTTCTGATTTCAGGCGCTTCCCTTGGTATCAACCCAGAGAGAGGA